AGAAATAGAACAGACATTTCAAAAATTTATATGGAACCATAAATGACCCCGAATAGCCGCAGCCATTTTGAGAAAGAAACACAAAGTAGAAGGGATCACAATACCGGACATCAAACTCTACTACAAAGCCACTATACTCAAAACAATCTGGTACTGGCACAAGAACAGACCCATAGACCAGTGGAACAGAATAGAAAGTCCAGAAATAAGCCCAGGTCTCTATGGGCAACTAATATTTGACAAAGGGGGCAGAAGCATCAAATGGAGCAATAATAGCCTCTTCAACAAATGGTGTTGGGAGAGCTAGACGGCTACATGCAAAAAATTGAAATTGGATCATCAGCTGACACCATACATAAAAACAAACTCAAGATGGATAAAAGACTTAAATATAAGTCGCAACACCATTAAAGTCCTGGAGGAGAACATTGGCAGGAAACTCTCAGATATCCCACGCAGCAATTTTTTCACTGATATGTCTCCTAAAGCAAGGGACATAAAGAAAGAATAACCAAGTGGGACCTCATCAAAATAAGAAGCTTCTGCACGGCGAAAGAAAACATCAGCAAAATGAAAAGGGAGCCAACCATATGGGAAAATAATTCACTAATGATACATCAGATAGAGGTTTGATCTCCAAGATATATAAAGAACTCACTCGACTCCACTACAAGAAGATCAACGATCTAATCAGAAAATGGGCAAAGGACCTGGGCAGACGCTTTGCCAAGGAGGAGATAGAGGGCCCAGAGGCATTTGAAAGGATGCTCAGCTTCACTAGCCATCAGAGAAATGCAGATCAAAACCACCATGAGATACCACCTCACACCAGTCAGAATGGCCATCATAAACCGATCAAGAAACGACAGGTGCTGGCAAGGCTGTGGAGAAAAGGGAACCCTAGTCCACTGTTGGTGGGAATGCAGACTGGTGCAGCCACTGTGGAAAGCAGTGTGGAATTTCCTCGAAAAGCTGAAAATGGCACTGCCTTTTGTTTCAGTGATTTCCCTGCTGAGACTATACCCTAAGACCACCAAAACGCCAATACAAAAGAACCTATGCACCCCAATGTTCACAGCAGCACAATTTACAATAGCCAAGTGTTGGAAGCAACGTAAATGCCCATCAGTAGATTATTGGATCAAAAAATTATGGCACATATACATAATGGAATACTACGCAGCAGAAAGAAAAAAAGAACTACTAAACTTCGCGACAGCATGGATGGAACTGGAGAGCATCATGCTAAGCGAAATAAGCCAGGGGGCGAAAGACAAATACCATATGATCTCACCTATAAGCAGAACCTAACCAACAATACAAAGATGCAAGGAAAATATGACCAGCAACACTGAAAGGAAAAAGAAACCAACAGAGACAAGAGGGAAGTAGGGTGGGGGGGCAGGGAAAGGGAAGGGAAGGGGAAAGTCAAGGAACATATAGCAAGGACTCATGGACAAAACCAAAGGGGAAGAGCTGAGGGAGGGAAGGAGGGAGGGGGCAAGGGAAAGTGGTCAGTGGGAGGCAGAGACAAATGTATTTATAAATAAATAAATAAATAAATAAATAAATAAATAAATGCTTCAGGGGGGGAGAATATTATTGGAACAATTGAAAAAAAAAGACTATACAGTAATATACAAATAAAAACAGTTAAAGGACAAGTATTAGAATAGGAAAGTATTTGAACACATCTGAAAAAGGGTTAATAGTTTTTGTTCTGTGAAAAAATTCTACGAACAGTCAAAAAATGGATAAAGAATACCAAAAAGTCACTTAAAGCTTTTTAAAAATCATAGAATTAGGCAATAAATATACAAAAAGAGGTTTAGTTTCAACAAATAATAAAGTAGCAACTAAAATACATCATTGTCACAATGAGATTAATAAGTATTGAAAATATTGGTAATATCAAGTATTGGTGACTGTGAAAGGAACTGGGTATTCATAGAGTCTTTTTCTTCATCTTCTTAAAGCAGTCCCTTTAGCATATCTTGCAGTGCTGGTTTGGTGGAGGTGTAGTCTTTTAGCCTTCTTTTGTCTGGGGAAACTTTATTTCGCCTTCCATTTTTATGGAGAGCCTTGCTGGGCAGAGCAGTCTTGGTTGCAGGCCTTTGCTCTTCATTACTTGGCATATATCTTGCCATTCCCTTCTGGCCTGCAGTGTTTCTGTTGAGAAGTCAGCTGCTAGCTGTATTGGGGCTCCCTTGTATGTTACTACCTCTTTCTCACTTGCTGCCTTTAGGACTCTGTTTGTCTTTGCCATTCGTCATTTTAATTTTGCCAGTTTGCAGTAACTTCCTCACAGTTCCCCTGTAGTTTTTGGTAATTCTCTCTGAGCTCACTGAGCTTCTTTAGAACCATTGTTTTGAACTTAGTATCTAGTAGTTTACTTGCCTCTATTTCATTTATTTCTCTTTGTGGGGGTTCCTCCTTTCTTTGATTGGGGGGTGTTTCTTTGTCTTCTCATTATTTGTGAGACTCTTCTTTTTCGCTTCTGTTTCTTAAATTGATCTGTCTTGATTTCCTGACTTTGTGGTGTGAAATTCAGTTAGGTTGTGCTAAAGCTGATCCTTCTGTCTGTCTGAGGTTATAAGGCTCCTCTCTTGCTATTGTTCAGTTATTTGTTCAATTTGTTTGCCACAATTTACTTGTAATTCCAGATTGGTCCTGGGAGGTCAGTGTGACTTCCATTCAGTCCTCCACCATCTTGATCCCCTATACAAGTGTTTTAATTTTTTTTTGTTTTCAATTACAGGTGCCCCAATATTTTCTGTGTTGCTCTCCCCTGATCTGTCTACACCCCTGCTCCTTCAGTCAGTTTCCACCCTACTGTCGATTACCATGGGTCCTTTATACATGTCCCTTGACTAGATGCTTCCCCTTCTCCTCTCCCATTCCCCCGTTATCCCTTTCTCCCATATCCTCTGGTCAGTGTAAGTTTGTTCCTTATTTCCACGTCTCTGGTTCTATTTTGCTCGTTTGCTTGTTTTGTTCATTAGGTTCCACTTATAGCTGAGATCATATGGTATTTGTCTCTCGCCGCCTCGCTTATTTCACTTAGCATAATGCTCTCCAGTTCCATCCGTCACGAAGGGTAGGAGTTCCTTCTTTCTTCCTGCTGTGTCATATTCCACTGTTTAAATGTACCACAGTTCTCCGATCCATTGATTTACTGATGGGCACTTAGGCTGCCTCTAGCACTTGGCTATTGTAAATTGTGCTGCTGTGATCATTGGGGTGCATAGTTTCTTTTGAATTGGTGTTTCAGTATTCTTAGGGTATAATCCCTACAGTGGGATCACTGGATCAAAAGCCAGTTCCGTCTTTAGTGTTTTGAGGAAATTCCATACTGTTTTCCACAGTGGATGCCCCAGTCAGCATTCCCACCAACAGTGCACCAGGGTTCCCTTTTCCATACAACCTCGCCATCACTTGTTGTATTCTGTGTCGTAAAGATATCAATACCTAAGCCGCTTCTAGACCTTGTGAATATTCAAGTACTTAAACTTCCTAATTTACACATCCTTCGCAAGACATGTTGGAGATGTCAATAGTTCATACTTTTAAGTGTAATTTTATTGCCTACAAATACAAACTGCTTAAACATGTTTCACATTACAAGTGTGAAAACAACAAGCACGCTGGTAATATTGTGTTTAGGGTATAAGATAAATACATCCTTCATATTTATGGAACATACTTTTAAAATAGAAACTAAAAAGGGAATGTTAAGTTCATTTCATCATTATGCAATATTTTAAAAGTACAAATATAATCATGTCATTGATTTGGGTATATAAAGAAAAACTTAGATGAATTCTTTCATCAGAGGTAATCAAACACCTTTCCTACAAATTTTGGGTTGAATTTCTTTTTTCCTCTCAAAAAAATTCCTTGTCATGATATTAATATTTTTAAGGGTTGTAAGTTTTTCCAAATGAGTTTCCAGCAGTTTTTACTGCTGTATATCTCTTCACCACTCCTGTGCCAACAGTATTTTTGTTTTTCCTTTGGTAACTTAATAAAAAATAAAGTATGCATTCTGGATTTTGACTTAACAATGATATTTTGTAATACGATACTGAACATGAAGTAAACATGAGGTAAGAACGCCCTTGTGCTCTTAATGAGCCACAGCTGTGAGTGGGAAAGGGTAAGTGAGCCATGTGATGGAAATACTTCCATCTTCCTCTCTAAGTAGAAGAGATTCTTCCTCTTAGAGTTTAGAACCTTGTAGAGCCTGCCATAGTAGGTAGAGAACTAATTTAACTGAGAAATGTTAATAGTAGCTAATAGAGAAAAAGCTCCAACAGCTCATGGTTATAACAAGAATCATACAGATTGTGTTCTAGGAAAAAAGCTATTTCTACAGGAACCGCTTTCAAAATTACTACTGTATTCTCATCAAATGCCTAAGCAAAAACTAACAGTCAGTAGTAGGTTTACAGAAGGAAGAAAATATCCCAGAATAACAACAAAATAATACAGACTAGGTCAGAAATATTCTTTTAAGAATAGTGATGAAATAATAATCTTAACAGTTCCTTAAAAAGGAGGGACTCAGGTCTGAGAGTAATAATAAGTGTACAAATTCATATTTTATTTTATATAAACATGTAATAATAAAATGTCTAGTTTTCTTATTAAATGTGCTGAGTTATTTTCAACAAATTTGTTATTTTCATAAAGTCCTGCATTAAAATACCCCTTCAGGTAGTCATAGATCAGTATTAGAGCTGAGAGGACCCTATCAATATGCTGATTACAATGGGAAAAACCAGGTAAACACACACTTTAAAGAATTCAGTCTTAATGAAGTTTGTTTCATTCTAGGTGTTCCATATATTAACTGTCAGTTCATGTTTTAACTGTTTTAAGTGGAAGAAACAACATTAGTTTTCAACATGAACTGCTTTGATTACTGGTTAGCCTCAGTAGTGTCCAAAAACATTTCAAACACTGCCCTCTTGTGATATTTTAGTTAAAAGAATACATACCTTTCTGAACTTTTTGAAATTCTTTAGTCGACCATAATCATCATTTACACTGGGTACATTTCTGGAGGCAGAGTTACTAACCACCAGTGATCTAAATTCGGTCAGTAACATCTTCCTTGGAAGCATCTCACCATCATGCTGAAGGCTGTCACTGTTCTTAATGGGGGTATATAGGATGGATGGATAAGAAGGGATAAGAAGAAATAAGAAGAAAAAGCAAAATTGCTTGTCATTTAGGGGTCTACAGAAACAAAGTCAAAATATCTGGAAAAAAAAGTTAAAAAGGTTTATTTTAGGCATATGAACTTTGTATTTGGAATTAATATCTATTTCAAAACCAGAAAAAGTGTTTATTCAAGTACTCAATAACTTTAGAAACATTTATAACACACTAATCTATGACAGAAGGCTAAAACCATATTATTTTTAATTTAGTGGCTATTTTAATAAATATCATCTCAATAAACAATTTATCTTCTTGTATATATTTTCTTGGCAAATCTCAATACTGTCCGCTTCTCATTAAAACTGTCCTCCAGCACTGGCCAGGTGGCTCAGTTCATTGGAGCACTGTCACATACACAAAAAGGTTGTGTGTTTGATTCCCCATCAGAGCACATACCTAGGTTGTAGGACAGATCCCTGATAGGGGCACATATAGTAAGCAACCTGATTGATGTTTCTCTTTTACATCGATATTTCTCCCTCTTTCTTTCTCTCCCTTCCTCTCTCTTTAAAATCAATAAGCATATCCCTGGGCAAGGATAAAAAAGTACTCCAAGATTACTATACAATTCATTCCATATATTCTTATATTTAAGCTTTCTTGGATTTTCAATAATTTCTATTTTTAAATTATTTTTGACACCTCAGAAAAATCAGTAATTAATTCTGGACACATTAATTGTTTAACTGAAAGCCGCATTTATTCTGGATAAATATTTATTAAATCAGCCTGAAGATTCCTTCCTGTGGCAGACTGAGAGTCTTTATTATCACTTGTTATTAACTAACAGTTACACCTCAACATTGTTATAGCTGCTGAGGCTGACCATCTTAGCTTTTCAAATTGCTTTGTATATTTTCAGAGGGACGTTGTTAAGAGGACTAAGATAAAGACAGTCAGGGAGAGAAGAAAAAAGAAGTCAAAAGAAAAGGTTCATTGGATAGTGACAGATTATAATCAGAAAAGCTAATAAAATTACAATGACCTCATACTTCTGTACTGTGTTTTGGAGTTCAGAAAATTTTTGCATCCATTACTCTACTTGATAGAAACAACAACCCTATTCGAAAAGTGTCAACTTTGTTTTATAAACAATACTTGAGGTTCATAAACGTGAAAATGACTTCTTCAAGGTCACTTATCTATGGAATAGAGCACAGGGAATTACACTTCAGCTTTTCTCTATATTCTTTTTGCTCTATCATGGTTATATGATCTATCGTGGTTATATGATCTATCCAGAGAAGGCATAATTATGAGATCAAAGCATAGAAAGAGAAATAATTAATCCTAAGAAAGAATACTGACAGATGGTTCATACTGATGAGATGATGGTTCATAAATCAAACTTTTATAAAAATTAAAATTTTCTTCACTGATGGTTCTTCTCTAGTTGACCACAGTAATTCTTTATTGATCTCACATTTCTTCCCAATTTCATTTTTTTGCTAAACAAAAAGTATTGTTGAAAGAAGTTATAAAATGGTAACTTTCTGAAAACTTCAGAGATATTCATGCTCTTGGACAGTTATCTGACTTTTAAGTATCTTTCCTAGAGGACTTCCAGTCAAGATGGAGGTGTAGGTGAACACACTTTGCCTCCTTGCACAACTACAGAAAAAATTTCAACTAGACCTCAAAACAAGTCACACCCAGAACCGTCAGAAAATCAAGCTGTATAGAAGTCCTACAACCAAGGATTTGAGGAACCACAATTCATCCATATGGGTAGGAGAGACGGAGACAAAGAAGGGAAGAGAGGCACAGAGACTCAGTGTGGTAATGGAGAGGAGGTGGTATGGACAGTCTCACATTCCTGTATGGTATATAAAAATCAGGAGGGATACCTTAGGAGAGAGGGATCCCAGTCCAGGCCAAACCACACAGCCCGGTGTTACAGTGCCAGAAGATAAATCCCTCTAACTTTGGCTGAAAAACCAATGGAGGTTGAGGCAGAGGGGGAAAACTGCTGGATTTTCAGGAGACTGCTTAAAGGGCCTGCACAGACTTAGGACTTAGAACTTATGCAGGCCCACCCTGCTGTGGGATTCGGCACCAGAGCAGAAGCTAGAAGGGCACCAGTCATACACGGGAAGAAAAATGAGGTCACTGGAAACAAGGCAAGTGGCAGGCAAACCTCCAGGAGCTAGTCAGCAGCACTGTCCCATCTCTGAGACCTACCCCCTACACAGAGCCTCAAAGCGGTGAAGTGGGTTGCTCTGCCCTGGCGATTACCTAAGGCTCTGCCCCATACAATTTATAGGTGACTTTTTCACAACAGGCCACACTACTAAGATGGGGAGTCAAAGCAGCTCTACATAATACACAGAAACAAACAAAGGGAGGCTGCCAAATTGAGGAGACGAAGAAATATGGACCAAATGAAAGAATAGAACAAAACCCCAGAAAAAGAATGAATGGCGATAACCCACCTATCAGATTAGAGTTCAAAACACTGGTTATCAGGATGCTGAAAGAACTCACTGGGTTCAGCAATAGCATAAAAAAACATCCAGGCAGAAATGAAGGTTACATTAAGTGAAATTAAAAAAAAATCTCCAGGGAACCAACAATGGAGGGGATGAAGCCAAGATTCAAATCAACAACTTGGAACATAAAGAAAAAAATAAGCATTCAACCCAGAAGAGCAAGAAAAACAATGTAAAAATATGAGGAGCGTATAAACAGCCTCTGGGACATCTCCAAACATACCAATATCTGAATCATAGGGATGCCAGAAAAAGAAGAGGAAGAGCAAGAAATTGAAAACTTATTTGAAAAAAGAAAGAAAGAAAACTTCCCTAATTTGGTGAAGGAAATAGACATTAAGTCCAGGAGCACAAAGAGTACCAAATAAGATGGACCCAAAGAGGACCACACCAAGACACATCATAATTAATATGCCAAAGGTTAAAGACAAAGAGAGAATCTTAAAAGCAGCAAGAGAAAAGCAGAGCATTATGTACAAATGAGTTCCCATAAGACTACCAGCTGATTTCTCAAAAAAAACTTTGCAGGCTAGAAGGGGATGGCAAGAATATTCAAAGTGAAGAAAAGTAAGGACCTACAACCTAGATTACTCTGTCCAGCAAAGCTACCATTTAGAATGGAAGGGCAGATAAAGTGCTTCCCAGACAAGGTAAAGCTAAAGGAATTCAGCATCACAAAGCCATTATTATATGAAATGTTAAAGGGACCTATTTAAGAAAAAGATCAAAACTATGAACATTAAAAGGGCAACAAATTCAAACCTATTAACAACTGAATCTATAAAACAAACTAAGCAAACCACCAGAACAGGAACAGAATCATAGGTATGGGAAACATTTGGAGGGCTATCAGCTGGGAGGGGGAAGGAGGAGAATGGGAGAAAAGGTACAGGGATTAAGAACCATAAATCATAGGTACAAAATAGGGGGATGTTAAGAATAGTATAGGAAATAGAGAAGCCAAAGAACTTATATGCACAGCCCATGTACATGAACCATGTGGGGGTACTGCTGGAGGGACCAGGCAGCAGGGAGCAAAGGGGCAAAAAATGGTAAAACTGTAATAGCATAATCAATAAAATATATTTTTAAAAAAGTATGTTTACTACAGAAACTGTAAGATGAGAACAGAAATATATGTATAAAGTATACTGTAGTATGAGTTGGTCATAGGAACAAAGAGCTAGAAGCAATCTAAGTTCATATAAGTTATATATGCAAGGACTATTAATATGAGAAATGACCATAAAAATGGCTATAAAATTACATTAACAATGGATTCCAAGTTTGCAAAATATGATTTAAAAAGGGAAACACCAAAATATTAACTATAGTTACCAGCAGTCAGGATGGTATCAACAAATAGTCACTGTTTTTTAATTTTCCATATTTCTCCATTATTATGTATTCCTTTTACAATTAAAAACAAACTCTTTTACAGGATTCTATCTAAATTTACATTTAAAATTGTATTTTAAATCACCCTTAACTCAAAATGAGTTACTTTAATTATTTGAGATGTTTATCTGTAATAAAGTAGAGACTGCCTTGTATACAATCATACTCTTTCACATTCATATATCCAGACCATGTTCTAGACAAAAGCATATTACACACATGGCTTTCTAATATTTTCAGTGAAAACTATAGTCTCTTTGGATACAACAGAGAGGTATATTACTTTATATCAAATTTTCAATGATTCAGTAATACAGAAAAATTTTAGTAAGTTGGACAGAAAAGGGAAGAAAAACAAATATACTTTGTGCTTGCTAAGGGACTGAAGTGTATTACTGTCCATCAACAGTGAGATTAAGATTTATATTCCAAGCCTACCATGTGTTGAGTACTTTTACCGAGCATTCTCACATGCATCTTCCATTGGAAGCTGTTTTCACAAGCAGAACAAATCACTCCCCACGCATTCTCCCCATCCTGCCTCACTCCTCTAAACTTGCTCATCCCCTCAAGCAAGTTTTTATTTCCTATCTCAGAGAATCATATTACACCCCACCCAGAAACTTGGCCTTACTCCAGAGGGGTAGACCTGTGTTTTGTACCATTGTCAAAACATAGCTATGTGACCTTGGCAAGTTACTTAACACCTCCTACTGTCAGTTTCCCAATCTTTCAATGCATAGTGCATGCTTCACTGCAGGGCTGCTGTAAACAGATGATGGTGTCCAGTGAGTGGTAGCTATTGCACTGGGCTTTGGAAGATGCTATAGTTATTAGAGAGGAGAAAAGTTTATTTTAGAATTGGAGGTGGAATGAAGTGGAATGAGAGATGTTGTGTAGACAGTGGGTGCTGTCAGGGAAGAGGAATGATGTTAATTAACAAGGATACCAAGTCATGTTTCTGTTTTAAGGAAGCTGGAAGACCGAAAGTAAGGCCCAGACTCAGGTGCAGCTAGCTTCCGTTTATGTCAGGATAAACTCTTAGCAGGAGTATCTAGCCAACAGCTTTTTAGTTCAGCTTACAGAAACTCATACAGACATGCTACAATCTCTGTTTAAATCCCAAAACAGGAAAACAGCAGTTCTTCCATCAACATATTTTAGAAATTGCCTTTCAGAAATATAACTAAAGAATCCACTGTCAACGGAAAGTATAACATTTTTGCCTTCTTAAGAATGTAAAGAATTTTTTAAATGAAAGGATTAAGAAATCATTTTTCTGTTCATTGCTTCTATAGCTAGAAATATTAAGTGCAATTCCTTTAATCCTTGAGCATCCACAGACTTTCACACATTTTAAATTCTTAAAAATGGCTTCACATTGTCTGAGTTAAGGTTGATGAATTGTACCCACGTCAATTCCCTGATACATACTCTAGCTATGCAAGGTGTTATAGTTAAAGGAACAGGGTGAAAAATATATGGCATCTCTATATATAATCCTTTGTAACAGCATGTATATAAACGACTACCTCAAAATAAAAAGCTTTTAAAAATTACACAAGCGTTTTTACTTTCACTGTAACAAAATTTTCACTAAAACATTATAGTGCTACAATACAGTAATTTAACTTTTAGAATATCCAAAGGTGTGGCTCAAATTGCTATTCACTCTTCAAAAGTCTATACAATGTATTTGTTTTGTACTGCATTTTTATTCAGAATGTCACGAATTCTGAAGTAGTAAAATAAGGATAAAGGAAATTATGCTACAGAATCAAATAAAATAATATTCCCTGAAAGCATTACACAACATGTAAATCTCAGCAAAACCCTTGTCTAGTGGTCCCTGCATCACTGGGGTCTGGTGCACACTTCTTGTCTCTCCCAGCCTGGGCTCCAATGTCCACTTCCTTAGTGACATGAGCCCTGGGAAAATGTGCAGTCAAAGTAGATATTTAAAAGATGAATTAGAAGCCACACAGCATGGACCAAAGAATGGTGACTAAAACCACAACCATTTACAGACAGAGCTGTGGCCACTGTGAGCAGTGGACCAATCTGGGAGAGAACTGAAGGGGGGAGAAAAAAGGCTATTAAAAAAAGATTAACATATGTAACAGGACAAGATGATGAGAAAAAGAAAATAAAAACATGAGAGAAAATCAGAAATAATTACTGGAGGAAAGGGTACCACAAGGCAAAGATATTTTCAAATGTGTGGCCACATTAATGTAACCAGGGCCTAACTTTCTAAAGACCAAACACTTATTTGACGTTGAGCATCTTTTCATATATATGCCTATTCGCCATCAGTATGTCCTCTTTGGAGAAGTGTCTATTCAGGTCTTTTGCCCATTTTTAATTAGATTGTATTTTTTTTGCGTGTTGAGTTTTGTAAATTCTTTATAAATTTTGGAGACTAAACCTTTACAGATGTATCTGCAAATATGTTCTCCCATTCTGTGGGTTGTCCTTTTATTTTGTTGATGGTTTCCTTTGCCATGCAAAAACTTTTTAGTTTGATGTAGTCCCAGTCATTTATCTTTTCTTTTGTTTCCCTTGCCTGAGGAGATATATCAGAAAAAATACGGTTACCAGCAAAGTCACTAAGAGAAATGCAAATTAAAACCACAATGAGATACCAAACTCTACTGCTCAGAATGGCTATCATCAGTAAATCAACAAATGATTGATGATGAGGATATGGAGAAGTGCAAAGCCTTTTGCACAGTTGATAGAAATCAAGATTGGTGCAGCCACTGTGGAAAGCAGTATGGAGATACCTCAAAAATTAAAATGGAACTGCCTTATGACTCAGTGATTCTACTTCTGGGAATTCATCAAAAAAACCCCAAAACACTAATTCAAAAGAATATAAGCACCCCTATGTTCACTGCAGTGTTGTTTACAGTTGCCAAGATAATGGAAGCAGACCAACTGTCCATCATCAGTAGATGAGTGGATAAAACAACTATGGGACATTTATACAATTGAATGCTACTCGGCCATAAAAAAGAAGAAAATTTTACCCTTTGCAACAGCATGAATGGACCTGGAGAACATTATACTAAGTGAAATAAGCCAGTCAGAGAAAGACAAACACCATATGATTTCACTCATATGTGGAATCTAATGAACAAACTGAACAAGCAAAATAGAAAGACTCATTGAGAACAGGCTGACAGCATGGTTGTAAGGGGTGTTAAGAGGTAGAGGGCTGAGCAAAAAGGCAAAAGGAATCATGGACATGGACAACAACGTGAGCACACGGACAACAGTCAGGGGAGAAAGGTATAAGGGGGATAAATGTTAATGAAAAAATACAATAAAAAATTTCTAAAATCAAGAATAAACACTATTACGAGGCCTGGGCACAGGTCCTGGAACAGGCTGGAGCAAATATGACAATGTAAACTCACCACTGATGTAGAATAAACATATCTTTATGGAGACATAATTTTGTTAAACTTGATTATTCCTTGGATTTCATGATACACCACATTAAGCTAACTTCCCCAACTCTCCATTGTAGTGGCATTTGCTCCACAAGTGATCTATAGAATATTTAAACCACTTAGTTTAATTAATTTCTTGGTAATCTGAGAGCTAATCTTCAATCCCTGATAATAAAAGAGCCCTCTGTCTCTGAAGTTCTCAATCTAGCTACAGGGTATGTCAGTATCCATTCTCTTTCTCCCTTACAATGATGAGTTCATTAGGACAGCCATGTGTCATGCTTTAAGCATCTCCCAGCTTTACAGCCAATAAACCAAATTATCAAGTTGGATTTCTGAGGAAGCTCCTTAGAAGGTGGGGAGAAACTCAAGGGAAAGGCCTTCACTTTGTCCTCTCTGCCCCGTGCTTCCTCCATCCAAAGTCAGTGTGATGCTGGAGAGCAAGAAGGCAGACTTTCCAGGAAATTAAAAGCATGGGACTACCAAAAAGCTTTGCTTACTTACTTCTGGGCTTCTTTTATAGGAAAAAAAAATAACCCTATCTTATTTAAACCACTGGTTTTAGAACTTTAAAGACCACAAAGGAATTCTGATTAATACAATAAGGGAACTTATTCTAGGATGAAAACTAGGTGTACAGGGTCAGGGTCTCTGGGGCTGTAGTCTAGGAAGCCACATCTAGAAGCTCACCTGGTGATTCTGATACAGCTGCTCCACCCCAGAGAATCTGGGATTTACTCCTAAGAAATAATAAGGATTGTCTCCCTCATGTGAAGATAACAATATATAGGCTAAATAGGGCATATACATTTTTCTTTCAATAGCAGTTACTCACTTAATATAGTGCTTGATACACACCAGGTTCTCAACAAGCACTGTCCCTCACAATCACTTAATCCTTATCCGTTTATTAAGTCCTGTCCTTAACGAGCAGTGGTTTATAAGAGAGGATAACCACACATGGCCATGAATGGGAGCTGAACTAACAGACCTAAGCGGGAGACCAGAATATTAAATTTTTATTTCATAAGGTCTGTGCTCTCACCTAATGAGCTAATTTGTCTATAGATAGCAGGCAACTTACTGACGCATAAAGTAAGTAATATAGAGAGTTTCTTAGACTTAGGCAGACAAAACAATTATCAACATGCATGAAAATAAGATAGGACATTAAAGATCAAAAGTGAAAAAAAAATTCTAGTGATGTTATACATGTTTTACCCTAAAGATTTATTTAGTAGATACTTTGTTTCACTAACTTTTTTCATCTTTCTATCTTTATTTCCTCTATTAAGGCATCTCCTATACTTACATTCATGGCCAAATGTGTGATACAACAGTACAGCCTGGAAATCTATTAAACGATCACAAATAACAACTTTATTTGCTATCATTATATACTGTCAAAGAATCACTTTATTTTTAATATTTACCCTATCAACCCACAAATTCTTATACTTAATACTGGGTGTTAAAGATACTAATTTTATTTCAAGGAAACAACAGATACTCATACTGTTATTACAAATATCTAAAATACTTTTTAACCTTCTAAGTTTCTGTTTGCAATACTTTTCATTAAAAATGTTACTTACAGATATTTTGTCACTCTCTGGTATTGTTTCATCTTTAAAAGAACCATTTGCTTCTATATCCAATCTTGGCATTTTTCTAATTCTGACATCTTCTTGTTTTTGAATTTTCACTTCAAAATCTAACTCTGGTTTTGTGTTCTGGAATACTTCTTCCAATACTTCATTTGCTAGAGCTATATCATCAATTTTCCTTTTTTCTGATCTTAGTTTTTCTGTAGAAAGAGATTTATTGGAAGAATTTTTCACAATGGATTTTGAATTCACATCTGTAAGTAAGTTATCTGTTTCTTCCCCCACTGGCTCATTCTGAGAGAGGTGCTGCTCCTCATTTTTCCATATTGAAGGTGTAGCAGGTTCCACTTGTCCCAGAAGAGTACAAGACATTTCCATTTTTGCTGATTTAGATGACATTTCTTTATTTTCTTCATCCCTTTCCCTTAGATTTAAAAGAGAGAAAAAACAAAAACAGACAATGAACACAGCTAAGTAATTTAATAGTTTGACAACATCCACCCCTCCCACATTTAACTTACCATATTCTTATTAATTAAATCACTAATTAATTAATAGTATCACTGGAGATTAAAAAAAGACATCTGAAAACAGTACATAATTCATATACACTCTACTATTTTGGGAGGACTGACCAGCTGTATAGCTAAAACAATATGGAGATGTCTATCATTGCTGAAGTTGCACTAGCTGACAAATCAGTGTGGAGGAAAGAATAGAAAAACATAAAAATACAAAGGACTTATTGTCAGGAAACAGTAGCTTACTCTAAAATGTAGGGAATTTGTGGGCAAGAAAAAAACCTGATGGGTTAATGAGCTGGATTCAAGACAGTAAGTCAGAAGGGCTAATCCAGAACAATCTACAGACTACACGCAGCAAGTGATACGTGACTAAGCGCTTTCTAGACAACACTGTTATTGCTCATTCCATAATTAACAAACACTATTCATTTAAATTGTCCTAAGGCCCATGGAGGACACAAAAGCTCAAGTCTCTACTCTCCAGGAGTTTACTGGATTTACATTGAACTGCAAAAGCCAGATGACATTTTAATACTTCTAAGCTGATGTCAGGGTAATGAACAGACTGATCAAAAGTGTTTTTGTAATAAGTTGAGATGGTCAGAGAGTGAACCAGAGAGGTAGCAACACAAACAGATGGAAAGGGAGGAATTTATAAGAAACTCAAAATAAGAGTCAAACCACTGGTTTTGGGGGGCATAGAAGAAACAGTAAAAGATTTTGACAAAGTGCACTCCTAACAACAAAAAAAATTATGCATTCAGTCACAGGGGAGAAAAGGTTTCAGGATTACCATTTGGGGAAACAGCAGGAAATATCTGTGGAAAAGTAAAGCTTAAAGGATGAGTAAAGCCAAAGGTATTTTTCATCTGTAATAATGTCATGAAACCCTGCAGGTAGATCATACAGAGGATAAAAAGGTGTGGTAGGAGGAAAAAAGCCTTAAAAAAAGGGGCAAAGGGCCAGTCAGAGAGGGAAGGAGCTGGGAGAGACCACTGCCACACAACTCAAAGGGATGCAAGGAGAATGGTTTAGGAACTGCATGCCACCAAAAGGTCACTCACGTTGGCAGTGTGTCAGTGGTTATTTTCAAGAATGTCATGTCAGAATGAAATACTGATGGTTTAGAAATATTTCATACAGAAACAGGAGCAGTAATAATTATCTCCTTCTCTAAGAATTTTAACAGTGTTTGTAGAAAACAAAAGGCAGTGGCAGGAGGATGAAACTAAGCCAAGGGACACTTTTAAGAAATGAGATAAAGCTCTTGAATACAGAAGACAACCCAGAAGACATTAACAGTGCTAGAAATTGAGAAAACACTGATGGAGCAGGTCCTACCTCATGAAACTAAAAAAGGTCAAAAGAGGCAAGCTGAAAGATAAGTACAGCCAAGGAAACAACATGAGCAAAGGTAAAGAAGGAAAAAATTGAGAGTCCATCCAGCAACCATAGTGAGGGGGCAAGGTCAAAGGCCACAGTTTTCCTCAGGCTGAATACCATTCTACAATCACATAAACAAGAGTTTCTCCGAGACACGGAGGTGTTGTAAAGACGTACCTTTTCTTGGTAGATGGCTGGAAGTAGTTTCGGATGGAGTTGGCCTGTGGCTGTTGGGAAGCTCGATCTCTATCTCTGTTTACACCTGGGAGCTTCATTGGTGAGAGATGATAGTTTGGAATTGTCTTCCTAACTAGAGTATTTAGTACTACAGTACTATTATCAGAGCTTATTTTGGGGGATTCCTTTACAGTGGATGCTTCTTGTGAAGGCATTCTGAATTTCTGTTCTATTCTGGAGATTTTGATTTCTTTTGGTCTTTCACTCAAATCCATACTGTAGCAAAAGAAAAAAATGCAAAGTAATCAAGTTTACATTAATTCTTATCCAGAAACAAAGTCCTTTCAGTAGTACCAATGTAATGTAGTTTTAGAACATAATTACACTTAGACAGTAATTCAGCGAATGTGTTTTACTCCTCCAAGAAAGTATCTGTTGTGTCACTGACAGTCTCTGAGGATAAGTGACACCTTTCTTCTTCACCCCTGCAGCACATACTGTCAGGAACAGATTCTGCCGGGAAACAATGTCAAGCACACATGGAATATCAACTTCATGTCCTACTATAAATTAATGAGGTGGGAAACCTAGGTAATTTTTGCTTGGTTTAAGATTTATAAATTCCCATGCAAAAAAATTAATTAAAAATGGAAAAATCACAAAAAAGATTAATCTCCAGTATCATATAATAGGCTATTCAAGTCACTTTACATGAAATGCTATTGTTATATTCCAGCAAGACAGCAGTCTATACAACAGAACACAACTCTAGACTGACAAAAATATTTTTAGCATCTCACACACACACAGAGTTCTGCAACACATGGCTGAGTATGTACAGCCTTTGCTATTCTTATTTACAGAAAAATAAGTAAAGCTGTCATTCAAGGTACTTATAAAACAGTAGAAGTTTCTCTTTAAAAAGTTATATCTGGCCTCAAAATAAAACATGGTGCAGGAAAACTGAAATGTGGTCCTATATAGTGATATCCCAAGTATATTTCAATATGAACAGTTCATTATGGACTATTTAAAATAAAATACACTGTGTTAATTATTCAGATTAGCCAGGTGGGCACATATAAAGTATCTCCAAAATTGTAAGTAATGTTCAAATATGGGCAACATCATATAATACAAATTCATGTGAAACTTATTTCATCAGTCACAAATAAAGCATTTAATTCTTTATAGTTTTCTGTGTACATTTGCAAGTAACAACAACAAAAAAAGCTCTATCACAAGACAGGTTGGCAAACAACGGCTTGCCACATGTTCTGTACATTGAGTTTCCTGGAGCACAGCCACTCTCATTCATTCATATGTGGTTGTGCCTGCTCCCGTGGTCCAATGGCAGAGTTCGGCAGCTGTGACAGAGCCAAATATATTTACTTTTTGGTCTTTTACAGAAAGTGTGCTGATCTCTGTACTAAAATATTATTGTCCCTGGTACCCTTCTCTCCCCTGCTTCATTTCCCAAGACACTAACTTAAGCTGACAGAAATGTAATGATAGTTTGTTAACAGTGAAACTTTACCATGTATCTGCTTGCTCTGACTCTGTGCTGGCGACATATGTCATAGTGTTCACTGGGGCAGTTGACATGAGCTTCTCTTTGACTGACAAGCCTTGGGAAAGGCCTGGCCCTGGAATCATCGTCCTGGATCCTGTAAATTACGCAAATGAGAGAAAGAACACAACTGGTGGACACAAGAGGGACACTTGGTCACTCACTATTGTTAGACTATGTCATGCTGAAGGAATTAATCAGGTAAGACAGTATATGGTTGTCTCCATTCAGTGGCACCAACAAATACTTAACAAAATGGCCTATCAGCAGCCTGTTGATGTCTGTGATGAGCTTATCTAAATTAAATCATTTTATAGGAACATTGAATCCTTCACAGTAAAGTATTATCAACCTAAATAAAAATAATCAACTTAAATTTCAATTCAAATAATGCTTTAAGTCAATAGACAAAAAAATTACATTTCTTTCCCACAGAAAGTATATTTACCCTACCATCTACATAAATTAAAAATAACATTTTACTTTTCTTTTTTTTATTCCTCACCCAAGGATATGTTTGTTGATTTTAGAGAGAGAGGAAAGGAGGAAAAGAGAGAGAGGGAGGGAGGAAGGGAAAGGAAGGGGAGAGAGGGAGAGGGACAGAGAGAGAGAGATACACATATTGATGTGAGAGAAGAACAACGATCGTCTGCCCTCCATATGCACCCCAACTGGGGATCGAACCTATAATCTAGGTATGTACACTGACCAGGAACCAAACTCTCAGCCTCTCTGGTGTATAGGATGACACTCCAACCAAGTGAGCCACCAAGCCAGGGCAATGTAAGTTTTATTTTTAGAAGGAATATACACTATTTGAAAAAAATACATAAATAGTTTTAGACATAAATTTTTGGCTACTACAGGAAACCATGATTACTTCATAATTCTGTTTACTAGGATAGCAACTGAACTCAAGTGCCCCTTTCCTGGCACACTTTTGCTGAATGCCCTGCACTGAAGCAGGTGCCCTTCATTTCAACTCCTGTTCTACCCTGTACATCATCACTCTATTAACACACTCATCTTCAGCTGGGTGACCTGCATTATTTAATCCCTCTACGCTGTATTTTCCTTACCTATAAAATGGGGGACTTAACCTACTTTTCATCAAAAGTCGTTTTGAGGGCAAAATGAATCAACATACAGACAGCACTGAGAATAATGCTTGGAGCAGTAAGCACTATGCAAGTGTGAGTGTTATCCACTGCCTCACTGTACACTGCACTGTTCACCTGTTACTTTCCCTTTTGACTTGGAGCAGGAACAGAGTCTGCTCATTTCCCAGTCTCCAGTCCCTGAGCAATGTTTGGTAAATAGTAAATATAAATAAGTTAATGGAATTAAATTAATTGAAAAAAACTTTAATTGGCATTTACTAAGTATGTAAACTAAATTATCACTATTAGGTCCACATGACATAGGATGTGTTTAATAAATGTTTAGTACTGATTCCAAATTCAGATATTTAAAGACTTCTGACTCTCTCCTTACGTGACTACCTCAGAAGCTCACTGGCATTTCCTTAAACACACATACCCCTAAAATTCATTTTTTCTTGCATAGCCATTTGCAAAAAGTAATAATTATGGATGTTTACATTATCACTAAAAGAAACAGTTATAAATAGAATCTAATGACCCAGAATAACTAATGTTTATCAACAATAAGATTATTTACAATGTTCTCCTTGCTAAATATATCAGAAGGCAGGTATTTGTTCTGATATGCTTACCTCTTTATTCCAAGTGTTTAGAATAATTACAAGTATATAACAAATGTTCAGTAAATACTTGTTGAATAAGTAAATGAATGAATACAGAAGAAAAGGAGCAAAGAAAGTAGGGAGCAAGAAAGGGAAGGAAACATGTATATTCTGTACTTTCAAAAGTGTATTCTAAAATTTTAAGTTCGATGTCGATGACTTAGAACCCAGACATGCCTACCTACGAATATGTACAAGAAGAAATACTACTAATTATAACGTAAATTTTTACCAATTCCTTATGACCTTGTTTCTACATGAAAAGATACAACCAAAAAGGTACTAGTCTATAAACCCAAATGTTAAGATTAGCTTGGACATAAAGTATCTCAGGGACCTTAACTTTTCAAGGCCTTTATATCACATACCTTTTAATAAAAAGACAGGTTAGATGATCTCTAGGGTCCTTTTGGACACAAATACATTTCTAAATGTGGATGACAAAATTTTGTTGCTCCACACTGTCACAGGTAATCTTATGTACTAATAACCTAGTTCAATTAAGTAAATATTAATATCTCCTACAAACAAATAATGTTCTTGGTGCTTGTCAGAGACAGTTACCAAGAGCTTACAATCCATCCAGTAGCTGAAAGAGGCATGACACTGCCAGTTATACTTCAAAGTAGAAAGAAATTCTACCTGGAATGCAAAAAAAAGTTACTGGGATATAGAAAACAATAATTCATTCCGACCTGGAGGCAAATTAAGGGAGAGAAAATAACTCAGAAAAACTCCACTGAGTATCTGTGGAGTGAGTCAAATTTGGAACAACAGTGCTGGCATTCTAGGACCATGATGAGTAAGGTCAAGGAGGATGAGGACTATAAACAATATGGCACATGTATTCTGTAAGGATTTGTTTTTTTTAGAAAGGTAAGGATGAGGACAGACAAGCTTAGGCTAAACTCTTGAGTCTAGACAGAGAGTTAGGGATTTACTCTATAGATAATGAGGATTCAAAGTTTTAAAGGGAAGGTGACTACAGTAGCAAAGTGAAATGTCATCTGTTGAGATTAACATGGCAGCAGGACCTCTACTGGGGCCACTAAATAGCCCTCAACAGAGACAGACATGAAGGGTTCCTACAGGGCAGTGGCTGTGGGCAGGGATAGGAGCAGGCCTCTGGAGCAGCAGCTGCAGGGGAAGAACTTCAAGTCTTGTAAGAATGAGAAATAACTGAAGTCTGTAGTAGGAGTGACTCTGCCATTTACATAAAAGAAGGCTCCTCTGTAGTTAGTCTTTCCCTAGATATTCTAGCTCAGTGGTTCTTGGTACTTGTATGAGAAACACGAACATAAAATCAATCAAAACAAACAAACAAAAAGAAACAATATGCCTTGGCCATATCCCAGAATATCTTGAATAAGGGAGAACATGAGTTTGCATTAAAAAATGTTTCTGAAGCATTTATGTAGTTGAGAACTAGTTTTCTAAAAGACAGAGAACAGTCTCTGATACATGATTCTATTTAATTTTTTTTCTGTTATATTGTCAAAAGCCTGAAATTATTAATAGGTTTGTTGTTGTTGTTGTTGTTTTTTCTATGACAGAACAGAAATCACTGTCAATTAAAAAACATCTACACCTTATGCTATTTCTGAGGTAGTGCAGCTTCTCCAAGAATATGGCTCTCTCTGGTATCCACACTGAAGCACTACTTTCTAAAAGACTGAGAAGTTTTCTATAGCTTTGACTCTAAGGATAAATTCTGGGAATGGTAGTTATAAATTTGAAGGAAATGCTCCACAAATCAAAATTCCAGCAAAATAGGTTATTTGGATATGTTGGAAGCTTCAAAGCATTTAAAACTGTTTGCAGTTGAAGGTTAGCTGCATACAGACAAACTTAAAAGTTAGTGTGCTCAGTGGGAAAGGGAGAGATATCAGGAGAATAAACGTATTTATCCATAGTAAAATATTAGCCTGTCAAATTTTCATGAGACATCTATCCTTTCAGATCTGCTCCCCATCACCCAACACTTTGCTCAAAACTTCACGAAGCAAAATATCTGCCATCTGCACTGCAGTGTAATGAAATCATAATGGCTTTCACTTAAGAGTTACTTTGAATCAAATGATTTACTACGTGACCTCTGGCTAATTTCTTAACCTCTTTATATGTCAATTCCTTCATCCTTAAAGTGCAGATGATGTCATCTGTCTAAAAGAATCATTGTGAAGATCAAATTTTGATGATGTATGTAAATTGCTTGCTTCAGACTGCAAACTCAAAAGACAGCCATCATTATTACCAAACATTACTAGTAATGACCTATACACCCGATCAATTCCTGGTCATTAAGCTCTAATGACTCACTCCTTCCAAAATCTAGCCTAACAAATTCCTAACCTGTAAATGAGGTTGCAGAGTATGGCCACTCAGGAGGGGCACTGTCCAACTCCACAGGTGGCCATTCAGTGGGCCACAGTGTGAACAATACCTCTGGGTGCATGATGAGGTATTGCTGTCTCCTTTAGCTGAAGTCCAATAACTGCTTACAACTATAGAAAAATAAATATACACAGGAAGACAGAATGGATGCTCTCATAGCCAGGTAAAGAGGAAGAGAGAGTACCTGGGGAGAATAAACATACAAATATCTAGGGTACAAAAGCAAGCAGAAAACAATAAATAAATCATCATGATGGCAATATCAGCGTATTTTCAAAAGCAAAGGAATATATTTTAAATAACAAAGGGGCAAGTGCTGCTGCCCCTGAGCACTCCAGCTCTGTGACAGTCAACACTGGGATGACTACAGTATGCACCCCTCATCTCAGAAACAGCACCACCAGCAACAAGTGACTTGTGCCAAAGACTACAAGCTGTTTCCAAAATATACCCTGAATCTGTTCTGCCTCTTTACAGCTGCCACCACAGTCTAATGCCCCTGGTGCTCCCACCTGGACCTCCATGAAAGCTTTCCACTTGTGTCCCCGCTCCCATTCTGGACCCTGAAATCCATTCTCCACACAGACACCATTGTGACCAGGTCCTCCTCCTTGGCATTCTGCTCCCCAGATTCCTCCTGTGGCCTTTTCTCATATGCAGAACACCCGTGGCCCCAATGTAACATCTTAAGTGAGACCCTCCTGACCACCACCTGTAACAGCCCGCTCCAAGTCACTACCACCTCACCATGTTTTAGCTTTCTCTTTGTACTTGGCCCTAGAAGAACTTATCATCAGAAGTGTCTGCTTGCCCGTTAACTGTCTGGATCCTGACCTTCAGAATATAAAGTTTACAGTAACAGGTAAGTAAGTAGTTTACTTTATTCACCACTATATCTTCAGGCCTTAGAATAGTGCCCAGTATGCAGCAGCCAAAAATATTTATCAAATGAATAAATGACTGAATGGAAAAGGTGAGTTTTAAAAGATGTTGAAAATGGTCACCCCCTGGCAAGTATATAGTAATGTGCATACAGCCTATTTATCAATTTACATATAATAAATAAAGTTGCTAAAGAATCAAACAAATAATGCTTTCATTACCTGTACTGGACTGGTCCTGAGGATTACAGTAATTCTCTGTAGTCATGAAAATAACTGCCAATCCAATTTCTGCTTCAGGAATAGGTCTAAGACCCTGCCTATTAGAATAAAATGGTTTAAGTATGACAATATATTCCAACTAACAAATTTATTACTCAATGAGCAATGTTACACTGGGCAAGTCCACCATGTTTTACTAACTCAGTTATTTCATCTGTAAAGGTCTAGAGTAAAGGATACATATCTTTCAGTTCTAAAATTCTATAATTTTGAGAATAAAAAGGGAACAGTAATACTCAAATGAAGCAATAATGATTTTTATAAGTAAACCTATGAATACTACAATCCTAAGAGAAAACTTAAAAGAGAGAAAGCAGCAGCAGGGAGAAGAAGGAGGGAAAGAAGTACAACAAATTTTGTATAAGCTGAAACTTACACAAAATTTCAGAATTGTTGTGCAGATCAAATGCTTATTCTCCTGATATCTCTCCCTTTCCCACTGAGCACACTAACTTTTAAGTTTCAGCTTATACAAAAAGTGTTACGATTTCAAGTTTAGTAATGATTTTGCCATATTCACATGTGTTAAGGAATCTTATTAAAGGGATCTTATGGTGAATCTATCTTCTGATATTCTGTAACGTGAATAATGACTGAATTACTAAAACAAAAATAATTTAATATAATGCTATAAAGAAACTATACCTCAAATTTTAAGAACTACAAAACTCTTTTTAGTACTTATTATAAGGTATTTTAAGTGGCTACAGGTGTTTAAAAGGTCTTTTTCAGTGTTTTAACATTTGTTTTTTGACTGTATTTGACTGGGTTAACTTAAGAGTTCAACTGATGTATGATTTTAATAATATTATACTAAAAAAAGAAATCTCACAAATATTATAAACAAGGGACTAAATATATCTACTTATAATTAAGGTAATTTAAAATTGATATATTATTACCTTACTCATGTTTTTGAAACTATAAATACACTATGAAAATTAGTTATAAAGATTGGCTGTATAAAAAAATAGAAACATTTTAAATATATATTTAATAATAATGCTATACATTTTGTCATCTTAGATAGGGAAACAATGTAAACATACGTGGCTACTATCACCACTCTCTTTCAACACTGCTCTGGAGGTCCCAGTGGGCATACAACATAGACAGAGAGGGTAGCATCAGAGGCATGAATATTAAAAATAGAATAGAGCCCCTGCTGGTGTGGCTCAGTGGATTGAGAGCCAGCGTACAAACCAAGGGGTCGCTGGCTCAACTCCCAGTTGGGGCACATGCCTGGGTTGCAGGCTGGGTCCCCAGTTGGGGGCATGCAAGAGGCAACCACACATTGATGTTTCTCTCCCTCTCTTTCTCACCCCCTGCCCCTCTCTCTAAAAATAAATATAGAACTTAAAAAAAAAATAGAAATGTCATTATTTACAGATATGGTTCGTACAAAAAGATTATGGATCAACTACTAGAATTACAAGGGGAGTCCAGTAAGGTGGCAGGATCTAATTTTCAGATGAATTCCTATCCATCAACAGTAAACAATTAGAAAATATATTTGAAGAAATATCATAGATCTACCACAGATATATCTACCACAAAATATATAGTACCTAGGGATATCTAAAAACAGGTATTTAAGATCTCTATAGATAAATTAGAAAAATTGTTAATGCTCCCCAAATTCCTTTGTGGATTCCATGAAATTCCTAATCAAATTCCCAACAAGGTTTCTGAGAGAAGATGACTCTAAAATGCATATGGGAAATTAAAGAGCCAAGAATAGCCAGGCTGCTTCTGAAGAAGTGCAGAATGGAAAGCTTGTCCTACTGGACATGAGGATGTTAATGTGGTGTTGATCAGTGAAGGAGGATAAAGCCAAACCATTCCCATGCATTGTGGACCTTTGTTATACACAGAATCCATTCTGGGTAGATTAAAAACAAACTTCAAAACAAAATACCAAAATACTAGTAAAGAATATGGGTGAATATTCTGATCTATGAATAAAAAAAGATTCGTTAAACAAAGTATGAGTACCACACATAATAAAATCTTTGTATTATGTATTGTGTATATTTTTTCATTGTTATGTAGAGTGCAACAGAAGTAACCTATAAAACCGACTACTTGTATATATTATTTTTTACTAACAAATAATAATAAAGTACCTTTGGAGCATATCCATAATTGAATGAATCCATTTTTTCTGAGAGTTGGAAATTAAAGTCTGTGAATTTGTCATTCCTATATCAACAACACAAGTTCCAGGAGCTGAAAAGAAACTGTCTTCTTCATTTTCTTCTGTAATCAACTTGGCATCTCCTCCTCCAAAAACAACAGCTGAACTTAATTTTTTATGCTGAAAATGGAAAGAAAAGAAGTGATAAAATAGCCACAATTACTTTAAGTACATTCTAAAAATTGTAAGAATTTGATTTGAAAGTAAAATAAAAAACTGACGTAGAATTGGTTCTGCTTCTTGAGAGGACAATCTTTACCTCCATTCTGAGAAAAATCCCTGATTCACAGGCACCCCTGCAGCCCTGGAACATGACACTTCTTCAGGGCCAACTGGCAGGGTTTCCTACATGCAACAGAAACGCCTGGAATCTCCATCTCAGCACATGAAAGACAGTCAACACCTGTTTACTAATCCAACAAGTTAGAACTTAAACTGGTTCCTCCCCTGACCAACTTACACACTGATATAAACAATAGGAAAACTGACAGATGTTAAGGACTATTATAATCATATAAATTATATGATTATATAATATAAAGGGCAGGCACTGGTGCCTGGGCAGTGTTTTATTCCATGTCAAACCTCTACACAAAAATTTCAAAAGAAAATGCATTAACCACTATTGAAAACAGTAGTCATTTGTCCTAGTATGTAATATTTTCTTTAGGAAAATTTAGCTTATAACATTACCTGTTTGGCATTCAGAAACACAAATGTCTTCCCTTTGAAGATCTGCTTTCTTTCCTGCCGCCCTGACAGATCAATATTTTTACTTCCAATGGCCGGCTCATCAATAGGTGGGTAAAAACTGTGGAAAAAAAAAATTAAAGTATATTCTAATTACAAACTACTCTGCATGCATGCCACTAAATTTGTACATGGAGCATTTCTAGACACTAGAAAGGCTTAATTTTTATAACACCATTAAATTATTTTTAAAAAGTTTTTATCTGATACAAAATGACAAAAAGCATCTAAATGCTTTTTCTAGAAATATGTAACAGGTGCGACACAGAATAGCAGGAATGTTCTTTACTTCCTGAAAATATATAATCCAAGAGTAGACAATCATAACAAGATACAATTTTTATATATATATATGTGTGTGTATATATATATATAGTGTGTGTATACATATATATCTAAGAATACAACCATAACAAGATACAATTTATATATATATATATATATATATATATATATATAGTGTGTGTGTGTGTGTGTGTATATATCCAAGAGTAGACAATCATAACAAGATAGAATTTATATATATAGTGTGCGTGTGTGCATACATACACACACACACACACACACACACACACACACACACACAATTGTATATCTATGCCAACAGTGCAAGGTCCTGACCACCCTGTACCCATATATATACCCATATATATTGTATAAATAAATAAATAGAAATACATATATATATATATATGACTCAAGTTAAGTGAATTACAAAAGGTTAAGAAACATATCATCCACGAAGATCAAATTCTATCAGTCTCTTGTGTTTGCTTGGGAACCAATACATATTAATAATGTTCATACTCCAATTCTGTGATCTTCTACTATGAGTGTTTTGTCACTGATCTCTATAGAGAAGCTCAAGAAATTAAGACTTACAGTATTTTGTCAGTTTAAATAAAATTTCCAAAGTGAGATTTAAAAATATAATCTTTTAACTCTTTAACATAATGCTATAAAAACATCTTAATTGTCCATGCAAATGAGGGAAAGAAGAAATTAGGGAAGAAAAATCAAGAGATTTTTGGGCCTCTCATCAGTCCACTTTCAACTTTCTATATACTCATTTTTTTTGCTACAGCTATTCGTAAGTGACCAACCTTTCAGCTTCTCTCTGCCTTCCAGTAAAAATTACTAATGTCTATGGGTAATGGAAGGCTCAATATCGTTGAACAGTCTGTTCTTCCCAACTTGATGTATAAATTCAATGCAATCCCAATAAAACTACCAGCAAGTTATTTTGTGGACACTAACAGATTCTGATGTTCATATGGAGAGGCAAAAGACCCAGAATAGCCAACAATGCTGAAGAACAAAGTTAAAGTATTGACACTACCTGAATTCAAGACTCACTATAAAGCTATGGTAATCAAGACAGTGTGGTATTGATGAAATAACAGACAAACAGATCAATGGAAGGGAACAGAGAGGTCAGATGTAGACCCACATAAATATAACTGATCTTTGACAAAGAAGCAAAGGCAGTAACGTGAAGCTTAGACAGTCTTTTCAACAAATGGTGCTGGAACAACTGTATGTCCATGTGCAGAAAAATAAATCTAGACTCAGCCTTCATGCCTGTCACAAAAGTTAACTCAAAATGGATCACAGACCTAAATGTAAAACACAGAACTATAAAACTCCTATATCATGATGTAACAGAAAACCTGAAAGTCCTTAACTATGGAGATGACTATTTAGATACAACACCAAAGACACGACATATAAAACAATAATTAATAAGCTGGAATTCATTAAATTCAAAACTTCTGCTCTACAAAAGACAGTATCAAGAGACTAAGAAGATAAGCCACATGCTAAAAAATACTTGTGAAGGTACTGTTACCCAAAATATACAAAGAACTCTTAAACTTAACAGTGAAAAAAAAAAATCACCCAATTAAAAAATGAGCCAATCATATACTTTATACAAAGTGATCCCCCAGATATTTCAAGCACCCACCTGGCATGACAGTTATTTCAATATTATTGACTATATTCCCTATGCTACATTTTAACCTCCCCAAATGCAATAAAAATTTTACATTAAAAATTAAAAAAGAGGGCCAAAGACTTCAACAGACACCTCACCAAAGAAATATACGTATGTCAAATAAGCACATCTATCACACATCTGTCATAAGAGAAATGCAAACTTAACCATCAGTGAGACATCTCTCCACTCCTATTAGAATTGCTAAAATCCAGACACTGACAACACTAAGAGCTGACAAGGATGTGAAGCAACAGGAACACTCATTCACTGCTGGTGAGAATACAAAATGGTGCAGCCACACTAGAAGACAGTTTGGTGGTTTCTCACAAAACAGATTCTTACCATATGGACAGCTATTTACTTCGTTTGTCCTGTAGACATTATGCTCATGATTTCCAGAACTACGTATTACATTGCTTTTTGGTGATATCTAAAAGACCTGAATTATATTGACATCCAAACTTGTAAATATGAGGTCTATCTTCAAGAAAAAATTCCTCGTATGTGCTATATTTCTTTGCCTTGAATTTTAATTGATTATGTAAGGTCAGCTCCATAAGCTTCCTAAATTTTCATTTACTGAGACTGTTTCAGTCTAATGGTCTCTTAGATCTGAGATTTGACTACAAGCTACTAAGTTAACCTGTTCCTGGTTCATGGATGCTGGCAGAAGACACAGACTTCTGGGTCAGAGAAAACACAAGCAGAGAGCCTCAGCACATTTGCAGCAGGCCTCCTTCCCAAATAAATCCCAGGGGGATGGCCTCAAAGGGACACACAGCAGGTGTGTTACAATGAATATGGGAATGCACCAGTTTCATAACAGGTGATAAGCAGGCATGCTCTTTGTCCTGGGAGGGAGATATTACCTCATCCCTCTAGGTTTCTCACTGCAAACATCCTAGAGAAACGGCCTGGGTACGGGGTGGTCAGGATCTTGCACTGTTGGCATACCCAGCAAGTTTTGGATGAATGCAAGGACTCTCTCCAAAAACAAAGCTTGTTGTTTCAAAAAGAGTTAAGAAATTACTCCATAATATGAGACTTTGTAAAAAATTCAAATAAATTGTAACTCCCTCTCACTTCTAAGGGATCATTTCTTTACATTCCGACATATTTTTTTAAAAAGTTTACTGATTTTTGAGAGACAGAGAGGGAAGGAAGGAAAAAAAAAAGGTAAGGGGAGTGAGAGAGAGTGAGGCACATCTATTTGTTGTTCCACTTATTTATGTATTCATTGGTTGATTCTTTTATGTACCCTGACCCAGGATCGAACTTGCAACCTTGGCTTATCAAGAAAAATGCTCTAAGCAACTCTGGGGTCAATGGACACAGCCCTTTCCCCCACAACCTTGACTGAGGGCTGATCAGGGTGCCCCTGGCCAGAAGGGATGTGGATTGCTTTGAAAATGGACTGTAACTTCCTCCTTATCACCTTTAGGAGTGGCTTCCTGTCCTGTGACTGCTTCTTGACCTTTTCCTTACACTGAAGTTTTCTTTATACCTTTTCTTTACACGTGCCTCCTGTGTCTGGGGCCCCTTAAAACAAGTCTCAGACACAGGGGTGTGTGGTCCTGCTTCCCAGCCCACCACTGCTGAAGTTCCCCGTAACGTAAGTAGTAAAAGCAACGTCTATTCCACCAGTCCTCCTTATGGATTTTTTGGCTTATCTGAACCAACAGTTGAGATCCACGGACTCGACCTCCTGTGTTACAATTAGTGTAGTAGGCAGGATTTGGCAACCCCCCCAAATTCCCCAATAATGGCATCTATAGACAAAAACATATTGGGTGGAAAATTGGGGGAAATCCCGAAAATGAATAATGGCAGGGATAAACCCTGAGGTGGTACACCAGTACTGGGGGAATGCCCCGAACGCTCTCACAGGCCTTGCAGAGGACTTGTGCAAAAAAAAAAAAGGAAAAACCAGCTGAAGCAAAAGTAAGACAGTTAGAGGGTAAACTTAAGATAAAAAGAAAAATGAGGAAATAAGCCCTTCTTGAAACTTTGTCTTTGCTTTAAATATTGTTCTTGTTTCTCTTTTGGCCAAAGGTCTAATAAATGAGAAGTACACAGTAATTTGGAAATTAAAAGCTTCTAAAAAAAGCACAGGTAAATTTTTATTAAAGTTAAAACTTAAAAATATTAAAGACTGTCTCTAAACTAAAAAAGGCTTCTGAAACTAATAAATTCCAGCACCCCATTCCTTCTCATTCTAAAATCCAAAACCAAAGCCTGTCTTTGAAATGCAAAAACCTGGTCTCAATCTCTTAATATGGACCATCTCTTAACATGCAAATTTTTGAGACATAAATCTTATTAATAAAATGAGGGGAAACCTTTAATATATCTAATCAAATCAATTTATTTCAGCTATTCCTTTTTAAATTAGTGAATTTCGATTACAGTTATTGAATACCTAAACATTTTAAACTGCTAAAACACTGATTGCTAGACAAGTCTTGGGTTCACCAGCTTTTGGCCTTTGTTACAAAAAAGGCTGTTAAGTGAATTTGAAGCTGTTAATAAGTGTCTTATTAATAAACGTCTTTGTTAGAGGTGTTATCTCTTGAAAATAAGTGTATTTGCCAATTTCAAAAACCTATGTTTCTACAGGTTATGGAATGTGTTCATAAAAGTCAGTCTAGGGGACACTGGGTGCTTATTTCTGGTTATCATTGGAAATTAAGGTTTCCAAAAGTTAAAAAATTTAATTGAAAAAAGTTACATGGTTTTGGTACTAAAAAATGAAAATTATGGTAATATATTTAAAAAGATAAAATTAAAAGTAAATTGTTCTAATACCTGAATACATTAAAGAGGCAAATTAAAAGGAACTAGAAAAATTGCAGATCTATATAAGTTAAAAAATTATATAAAAAAAGAAACAAAAAGATAAATAAGAAAATCTTCTGCTTTACATACATAATCTTTATTTGTGTAATCTGTATGTAATATGTTTGTATGCATATCATATGGAGTACATTTTCTGCCTCCAAATAACATTACTAGAGTGTAATATATTATTGGCCTAAAGAAATTAAATACTTACATAAATTAAG